CGAACTCTGGTTCGTTTAAAACGGAGCAAATTATCAGGTCTGAATACGACCTAAAATAACTTCAGATTTTTTGTCTCCATATTCTAYCTGTTTCTATTTTGTACCTCATCCCTTGAGACAGAAGTACACAGAAAACTGAATGTACTAAGCAACACTTGACAAGCAGAGCAATAAGAAGCAATAAGATGTATTCTTACTATTACGAGCTGGAGTTTAAGTGAATACATAGGATCAAATTTAATCAATAGTTCCCATATTTGACGAAAAGGAGCTGCAGAAGGGCCATTATGTAGTACTAATTGTACCTATAGGAGTCATCATTTAGAAAATGCAATTTGCACTCTCATTGGAATTCATTGAAAGTCCTCAGGTAGATGACCCAAATTGCCCACACTTCTCCTCATTTCACCGAGTTTTCTTTATTCCCTTTATGTCTGCCTTTGGATATTTATTGTCCTCTCATTTTAAGCCATCTCTGACTCGACAAAGGTTCTGTACCATTTCTTACTCTCCTAATTTTATGAACATAAAGCTACAATTTTAGTACAGAGACTAAGGTTTCTTTGCATTAATCTTACTTGTGAGATATGTTTGTTTGATATTTCATGTGCAAGTTGCGTGATATATGTTCACACTAATGATTAAAAACACAATAAACTGGTCTGCAGTTACTGAGATTAATGGTGAATATCCATTAATGACAAATCAATATAACAAATCAAATATGTTATTCAGAAGTCAGTAACTTACTGCTCACTCACCTAAAGTGGGTTAGAGAGCAGTGACTCATTTCTTGACCAAGTCAGCAACTATCTGCCAGCTACTCTCTGCTCCGTTAGCAAAATATTGCAGACTGGTTGACACCAGGTTAACCAAAGAAGGAAAGCTATGCTTTAGTATAAACATCAAAATACCACCAGAGGCTATTTATGCAGTATTTGTATTTAGTTTAATGCTTTAAATACAGACTAATAAATCTGACTYATTTTCTTGTTTTTAATTTTTAATATACAGGGACAACAGTCAAAAGTTGTGTTCTTTATTWAAAAAACTACAATAGCAATAGCTACTAAAAACAAAACAAAAAAACAATATTTGACGGAAATAATGGCATGAATATGACTGAAATAAAATAAACACTCAGTTTACTGATATAACTGCTAACTCAGTGTTTGCATTTGTGGCATGGATAAATTAATAAACTGGACTGTGTAAATACAGGATCCCTGTGTGTTTTTATCAATATCAYAGATTTTTGCCATCATCGTCAAGCTGCAGAAAATCAAAATGTAAGTATTTAAGAAAAGGGGTTCTTACAACAAAGTGTATTTGGCATGTGTTCATGTTTGGCTTGCTGAATGCATTATTGTGAATGGTTCCACCAAGCTGCCATAATGATCATTGTGAAAATTTTATAATACCATAAACGGTTAAGCCACTAATGTGGAATATGTATGGCATGTTTACCTAATATTGAGTGAGCTGATTGTGCATTTGCTGTGAGTAATAAAMCAAATGTTCATAAACATAAGTCACTTGTGAACACATGTTTCAATAAGGCAAAGGTTTATGAAACCAAAGTGCCTTCTGACATTAWAAGGACTTAATTAAATGCAAAGTCTTCATTTATGAAATAAGATATGCTGCACTCTGCATAAATGCATAAATCAATAGCAAAACTGCCACAGAAATATTAGAATAATTGATCCAGGATGATTCAGCAGCAGGAAGGTTTTTAGGTTTGCAGGATATTAGCTCCTCATAACAGTCTTGGTGAAGGTCAGTGGAGACTGCAGTAATGACAAATGTCCTCCTTTTGACTCCTCCAGTGAGACTTTATTTTGGCTAGTTACAGGAAATTACTTTCTGCTGCTCCTCTCATCTTCCTCTCACTCTGCAAGCAGCAGCTAAACGACAACGACCAATCAGGGTCTAATAAAAACAAGCTGTAAGTGTCCAAGCAGCAATATAAAATATTCACTCAACTGATGTCAAACTGCTGGTTATTAAAATAAGAGTTAAAGGGACAGTGGAAACTAAGTATTGGTTTGCAGTAGTGATGCAACAGATCTTGTAAAACATCATTGAGACTAAAGTATCCCTGCAGAGATGCAGTGTTATCACTGTATCTGGGAAAAGGAACTTGTGTCCCTCCAAATATAGAACTACTTGTTTGGTGTCTGCACAAAGTGGCTTTGACTTGGTGTGTTTGGATCATTGCTTGTACTGTATTTGCAGTATTTATCTGCAGTCCATGGTGCTGAATTTTTTTGGGGGAGGAATTGAAGAGACATTCAGCACAATTTAGCATCATTACAATACAACACTGCAGTTTGTTGGGRAAACCTGCATTCTTACAACTCTCCATCTTCTTCTGCTTATCCGTAGTCGGGTCGTGGAGGCAACAGGTCCAGGAGAGAAACCCAAACATCTCTTTCCCCAGCAACAAGTTCTAGCTTGTTCTGGGGGACCCCGAGGCTTTCTCAGGCCAGAGGGGATACATAATCCCTCCAGCGAGTCCTGAGTCTTCCCCGGGGCCTCCTACCAGTGGGACGTGCCCAGAACACCTCTAAACCAGTAAATCGAGAGCTTTGCCTTTYGACTCAGCTCTTTCTTCACCACGACTGACCGAAGCAATGCCCCCATTACTTGAGGACGAGGCCCCTTACATTCTTACATTTGTGTGAATGGTATTTAACGTCTGACAAACCAATTATATTTAAACCTTTTTGCAAGTAAACCGCACCCCTCATCCTCAGTGGGACCATTTTAAACCCTACAAAAACTGTTCAAGAAGAACTAAAAGAAAATAAAGAACTTGAGGTGTTTATGTAGCACCTGAACTTTGGACGTGATAATCTGATAGAGTCACTAAACATTAAATCATGTTCTTTTGAAGAAGAAACAACTATTTGGGCAACTTTTGGTACTCCGCGCAAGATAAATTTACTTGTAGAGAATCTGGCTTGATCCCACAAGTAAAGTGTGTAGTTAGGTTGTTACAGATACGTTTGAGCACAGTTTTCTTTGTGGAGACCCAGTATTGATTAAATGCATGCCTTTTGCCTTCACATTATGTAAAAATTTCAAAATTGAAAGTTTATGCCAAGTTATCCTGCGCAGTCCATGGGAGCACATGCTCCAGGGACAGAGTGCAGATCTCAAATGTAGATATTCTACCACCTCTRATGCGCTCTCTGACTGATTGTATTTGTCTAGACTCACAGCAGACATTGTGTTTACCTTAAATGAATAAGTTTTTTGTCAGATGACATTGTTTCTAAAACAAAACAAAAAAATCCTTATTAAAGCTAAGCATCAATGATGCAGTGCTTCAAAACAGACCACAAMTAAAAACCACAGCCTGAATAAATGGTTTTTCCATCACACTTTCAGGCTCATTTTGTCTTCTGACAACAAAACCAGTGAAAATATGATGGACAGCTGAGTTATTGACCACTTGGCCATAACAAAATACAATATTTTAACAGGAAATAGSAAAGAACAGGACAGAGAACACATTGTGCAAACACACTGTGATAATGGAAAGAATATGCTAACAATGTAATGGTCTCAAAATAATTCTAGTTTTGTTAGCTGGGTTTGTTTATGCAGGTTTTGTTTTCTGCTTTTAGTCACAGCAGATTTACATTTAGTAGTTATTTCCCACAGCATATATCAAGCTGCTCAGCTTCTTCTGTTCAAGGTTCAATCCTTTTTTTAAGTAACTTTTTTTCCGCTGTAAAGTCTTGCTTGGTCTTCTTTGTACTTTGTTACTAACTTTTTTGGAATGTCTGCTGTTTTAATTTGTTTCGGTGTTAGAATTTTGGATTGTTTAGCAAAGTATTTCACCTGTTTTTGGTCTTGCATTTAGGTCCAAATTGTCTACCATTTCACAATTTTAAATAAAGATTTTATCTAATCAGAATATATGAATACATTTACTTTTAATCTACATGAACCAATATTTACATGAGTTTTTTTATTACATGTGCAGCTGCTGTACACAAATGTCTTTAAAATCAAACTTAATAGGCAATGTCATCAGACATCTCTGTCAATGACAGATCAACTGCTTTTTTAATGTGTTTGACAAAAAAAGTTCATATGCTGATGGGGTCCAACAGAGCTGAGGTTGTGTTACAGACAGTTGTTCACAAATGCTACCAGATGTTCCAAAAGCAAAATATTGTTTTGGGGTATAATTGCCCAAAAAAGACTATTCTTGTCTTACAGTTAAAAGATGAACTACGAAAAACTGCTCAAATTGTCTTTAGTTTGTCTTTTAACCAGTAAGAGAGCATCTATGGCATTTCTTTCTGCATTGTTTCAAAACTCAAACCTTGGTACACATAAATGTGTTACATCCCTAAACACATTTTTATACAAACATCACCCTAAAATGAAATGTTACCTCATATAAAATACTTACTTTGTGCAACGTTCTTCCTTAGACTATCAAAATGCACTGCTTTTTATGATTTTTTAGTTTTCCTGGAAGTGTCAAACCCAGCCTGCCTGCCTGCCTGCCTGACTCACACCTAAACTATTTATCAATAATGAGACTCTTATTATGGCTTTTTGAGTGGGCCAGAAAAAGGTATGTCTGCATGGCAGATAAAGTTAAATGGATTAGTCATATCAGACAGTGACCTTGTAGTTTCTTCCATCAAAATGTCAAGATTCCTCACATTCCTTACTTGCTGCCAAATTAATACAGTCTAGCCTCATTACAGCAGCACTCACCAATAAACCACCGAATTGATGGTGTGGTGTCTTTCAATATTAAGTTCATAAAACAATTGTGAAAAAAAATACAAATAAACTGAAATAACACTATGTAACGAACAAGTGTGTTTTTCCTTAAAGACATGTATTAATGTACTCACCTGTTGTTGTCTTGACCTTAGCTCTTCAGTAGTGTCATAGCTGGAGAAAAGAGAACACAAAACAAGTTTATAAAATAAGTAATTTAAGTACTTTGAAATGGTTACTGAGGCATTGCTGTAACTACATGTCCATTGTCTGATGGAACAAAGTGTTATTGCAGGCTTTGTCGTTCTTATTCTGTCTAGAATCCCTCCTCATTCCTTTGCTCCATCTCTGTGCACCAAACTTGCCATGGCTAACAGGAAGCAGAGGGCACAGCGCTTTATTTAATTAGTCACAGCAGTTGAGTGCTCATGTGGAACCAAACAGGGGAGGTAGATTGGGGTAGTGAGATGGATAGGCACTCTCCCACCGGGCCTTGACTGTGCTGTCAGAGGAGCATAGATTACATGACAGAAGGGGGGGATTGAGGGAGGGTGATAGTGATGGTAGTGGGTGTTGTATGGCAGGAAGATGTAAATGGAGCCTGTACAGGAGCATTCGTCCCAGAAAAAAGATTGCCTTTGGTTTGGAGGTTTCCCCCGTCTTCCCTCAAAAACACTCTTTTGTCTGATATGCAGACAAGCAGGCAGAGGACTTGGCTTGTAGATGTAATGTACAACACAGAGGTTTGATCGTTTTTAGTAATTGTGACAATGCTCATTTTTCCAAATGATTTAGAGGTGATTATTTTTTTCCTTGAATCTTTTCTAACATTGATCTATTGGCTGTTTCCTCAGGGTCGAGCAGATAACCTCCGCAGGGGAGCAGAAGTACCGTAGTTAGTGTACCACGCATTCTTAATGAGTTCCTTCTTAAACTCAAGGCAAAGAAGCATCAAACGAGGAAACGTTTGTCCATCATCTGACTTTCATTAAATTTGCCAACTCTTTGACTTGTACAAAACGAACACAGACAAGAGTGCAAAAAATTCTATTTGTACATAATCTGAATGTTTGCTGGATTATAATAAGGGCGCATGAATTTAGAAATTTAAAAGTATTATTATCCATTTGGAGCTATCTTGGTAAAACAAAATCATCCCAAGCTTCACCCAAGAATAAAAACAACACAGAAAATGTGGCTTTCTGCATGGTGCTGAACCAGCAGCGAGTGAATTTATCAGTGTGCAACTAAAAAGCAATGATCTTCAGGGAGCTCTTTTAATTAGCGTTCTAGAAGTTTTTCTGTGACCCACATCACATAATGAAAGCAACACAAATATTCTATTTACATATCTTTACTTAGTAATGTGTGACCACAGGGACAGCTTGTTGGTTGAATATGCAGTGTCAAAAAAAGGGGGGAAGGGCAAGTTTAGCTGAGCTACATATTCGTTGTGCTGTCCAGGGCAGTCTTAAATCAAATTGTAATTTAGGAATGGTATGTTTGTGAACTGAAAATCTTACCTGCAAACTTTTTATCAAGCGTGTAATCATCAATGACATACTTGTAGAGTCCAATTTCAGGAGTTAATATTTACTTCACATCTAATAGGGTATTAATAATATCTTTTCATGGCACTTTTCAAAGCACTGCATTAAAGTTGTTTACAGGAAAAGACATTAAAATACAAGTATGTAACATTTGCATTGCCAAAGGCTTGCACAAAGGGGAAGTTTAAAAAATAATCTTTGAGAGAAGCTAGATTTTCTGTTTCTAGCTTTAAGAGGGCTAGAGTTCTACCAAAAGGGGGGCTATAATGAAAGAGGCCAGAACTTAACTGTCACAATTTGTGACCTGGGAATAGTTAGCAGGGTAATGTCTGCAGATCTCAATAGCTGAGAGGTACAAATCAGGTCAGTGAGTTGTATTTGTATTTAGGGAAGCATTTAAAACGATGATAAGAGTGAATTTAAAATTTGAAATTTGGAAATGAAAAAAAAATCATTACAAAAAGGCAAAACAGATGTGACATGTTCTTTATGTGTTTTTTTATCCTGTTAACTTGCATGTTTAAAAACAACAGGAGGTGGAGAGTTAAGACTTAACTTTAAAGGGATCCATGATTAGTTGTAACATTAGACTTTATTTGATAAACATTCATTTTAACTGTAAAATAAAGACTGCAAAAATGCTGTAGGCTGTTGAGTTTTAAAAATTTATTTTAACTCGGACGGAGCCATTTTATTTACACACAAAGCATTCTGGGTAAAGGATGACGTGGATAGGTCCTCGGTGCGAGGCTGCTAG